GGCCTTGGGAGACACCAAAGTTAATTGGAGAGCATTGCCGATGGAAAAGATGGTGGAGGGAAGGAACGTGGTGATCAGGGGAGAAGCAGGGTTATCTAAAGCCATGGTTTTTCTCAAAACTATAGTGAGGACCATACAAGAGGTGTGGGGAAGATTTCTAGTGGGGTTGCAAAGCTTAGAGGGGACCAGGTTGGGAGGGACATGAAAATAGCACATTATTGCATAATAAAAGACATAATTTTTAGATGATACTCTTACTTTGCAACTAAAGATTGTGCTTGTTAAGATAGATTTTTTTATTTTAAATTTTTTAAAAGGTAAGGGTTTCAGCCACCCACACGTGGGGCCATGGGCTAGCGCCAAGTGGACGACTAGTTCCCCTTAAATTAAGAAAACATAATGATCAAAATGTTGATAAGATATCTAACTTTCAATTGTGGGGTTGTTTAAATAATTGATCAAAATGGCACGTGGATTAGGTGTATAAATAACCTAGCATCAAGATTGATTTCTACACGAAAGTCTCTGTTCCCATGTGGTTTCACAATACCAATGTATAAAATTTTAAGGAAGCAACTTAAAATTTATGCCAGCATAACTAGATTCCTAAAACTGCCTTATGGCATGCATATCATCCTGAAAGCAAGATTTTAGGATTGTTCTCTAATTCACAAAAAAATATTCGGAGAGATGCCATCTATAACAATCATTTCGAACATTGTTTGAAATTCCAGTGACCTTCTTTGAATAAACAAGTTGACACAATCTTTGTAGCTTTGACTCTTGGATCACGTAATAAAATGGTGGATGACATCATTTTAAATCATGCAATTCATGAATTCATAAGTTAATGGTGTTCAAATTCCTAACCAATCATCAAATCTCGCAATCTGAAAGTTAGGCTATGCAAACCAGGACTCTTAATGGAAAAAAGGACCCCTAACCCCAATAAACTATGACCTCTATATGGTCTTATGCTTAGATCTATCTCGATTATTTTACTTCCAAATTTTAGCCTGATCCAAAGTGGGTTGCCCATTGCCTGAATTCATCATTAGCCTATTTTGAAAGTTTTAGCCAATTTCTATATTTTCCAATATTTTACAAGTTTACTTAAAAACTATTTCAAATTCTTAATCATCAAGATATTGTCCACTTTGACAAAGTGCTCACGATTTTGTCCCATTGGGATAACTTCCTAGGAAGCTAACAATCTTAAGTTGCCTATAGTTTAATTTTATTTTCTTAAGGGGTTTCACACAAGTTTAGGCAAATCCAAGCAAATATAATTATGCAAAACCAATTTTAATCTTTTGTGACTTGGAGTAGATCTTGGACCGTCTATAAGGGCAATTGATGTAATAATTAATAAACTTGTTACAATAATGTGTACCCATAGGATTATATTTCGTCTTTCAGAGATGCCATTGGATAAATATCCAATGGTCAATGAGGCATGCATTATGGATAAATTAATGGATTAGCATAACTTAAAAACTAATCAATGTTAAAGCGTGTTGTGCAATAAAGGCTATATGAACAAATTATTGGTATGAAATACAGGTTACATGACGTAGATCGGAAAATTGTGTGGTCTTTGGGAAACTCCTTGCAAACTGCTTCAACTTTAGACTAGGGTTGTAGCTCCCTCTTGCACAACTCTCCCTAACAGCATACATCCGATTCATGGTCAAAACCTATGACAAATCAGTCAAAAATATATAGTGGATTTTGGTGCTCCCATCAAAACGAGTAGATTTTGTCTTGACTTTGATGTGACAAGTCTTGTATCATATTTGTCTAATGAGGCACAAAGTGTCAATTACATTTTTTCTTTTCAGATTGTTCCAAAATATTGATTGAAGTATACCTCTAACCACTCATTTCCCTTTCTACATGCAGCATAGGATTACTTCGCTCCATGCTGTGTGGCTTCTAAAATTCTCACCCCCGCCTTTCTGTGTGGGAGAATTTTAAGGAATGTGGATGCGTCAAATTTTTAGAAGATAGATAAAATTGAAGATAGAAAACTACCCAGAGATTTCACTCTCATTTTATGAGGACTTTATGATATGATTCAAAGTTTCCCATTGGCGCATGCCCCCCTTTGATCAAGTACCACTCCCGATGATTAGAGAGAACTTTTGATTAAGACTAGTTGTTTACACTAAGCGTTGAGCAAATAGTAGCAACAAGTATAGGATTTGAAATTTGAAATTTATCATGTTATACTTAAAGCAGATGGCAAGGGTAATGTGACGAAACTGATCAATGTCACATGATTTTGTCGTTCCATGTTTTAATGATCCATAATCTATTTAGTTAGACTTGAGGTAGATGTTTGTCTAAGGAGACAAATTCAAGTCAACTTAGCTAATAGATGATTGATACCCTATTGAGTATGCCCTATGATTCATCACTCAAGGATTTTTTAGCCATTGGAGAACTTATAGGTTTTGTCCGTAACTGTAATTTAGTGGCATCATTTCATAGCAAAATCACCCAGTCAAAAGGGCACATACCACTTTGTTATTGGTGAGAAATCATTTGAGAATGAATCATAATAATACGCTAGACAAAATATTTATTTTTTGTGCGCTGAGGTTATCTTTAATTTATCATATTTGATAAATGTTTATGGAAGATGAATGGATTTTGTTTTAAGTTTTAAATAGTAAATTTCACTTAAAAATTTTAAATTTTATTTTCCTAAATTTTATCAAAATTTGGGCCAAAAAAATTTCATTTTGGAATTTAAGGGTATTTTTGAAAATAAGATCCCCATGCAGCATTCTCAGACTTTACATTTGAGCAGTTGACACATTGTTGGAGCACATGAAGAACTTTGAAATTCTTTTTTAGAAGTATACATGCTTTCAATGTGCCTATGCAAATCACGTATATGGTTTTCAATCCATTTGTATATTTCTTCTATCAAATTCTTAACCTTAGCCTCATACCCCCAATATACTCTCTCATGGAGTGTTTTGCTCATTCCTCTATGAACACCAAAACCACCACCAATAGTTCCTTTTTCATGAACACCAAAACCACCACTAATAGTTCTTCTTTTCTGCCCTTAGGTATTCCTCATATTGTGTATCCATCTTTTCCATAACAATTTATTCAAACTTTCCTCTAATTCAATTTGAGTATTATATAACACTAGATGCTTTATATCTCCATATCAAATAATCAATTTGATTGCAACTAATCTAATATTAATACTTTTTAAAATGAAAAGTATAACCTTTCACTTCTTCATCAATGCAACCAAATTATATCCCAACTTATAAATTTTTATTTTGAGAAAACTCAAAGCACCCTCCAGTCTCTTGTTTCTCCTATCTCCATTCTACATAACATAAACAACCTAATAATCTAGATTTCCTAATTTAGGTCTCTAAATTTTATCTAGCAAATCTAACTTCGGATTTTTGAAAGCGTACCTCACCTTTTTACATCAAGTAAAAAGTTTTATTCTAGCCCTCTAAAAACAACTTTAATATCAAAATTGCAACAAACACAAAAAAATCTTTGCACACTTTCACCTCATCTTCGATAGATTGTGATGCATTAACCCATTTTTACATCCTAGTTCTCCTGCTCACTCTACACAATATCAAGGTAGAAATTGATGAGTGACTTCTAAGGAATGTCGAAGCATTAGTAGTAAACAAATGTTTATCATAATGCCTTACATTGTCCATTGTTGCTAACCAGTTGAATATAATCATTTTTCTCAGATGCTGGAATATATGCTACCAAGTCTTATCCATACGGTAATTTATGAGTCTTAAATGTTGAGCATACCAATTAATATCCTCATCTTAACATTTGTGAATTTTCAATAATAACTAAAGAATTGAAGCCACAAAATGAAGTCAACCTTACAAAAAGAAACATGGGTTGTTGCGTTCTCGGAGATAATAACAACGCTTATGCCAATAATAATAATAATAAGAACAATGCATTTTATGGATGAACATAATCTTTAGCATTTGGCCTCACAAAAGAAGAAATCATGGGTTATAACATTAACAAAACTAATGCCAATAGCAACAAAAGAAGAACCATGCATGTTATGAATGGACATAATCTGTATCCTTAGGCCTCACAAGAAAGATGCTAAGGTTGCAAATACTATCTTGTAGAGAAAGAATATCACATATTTACCACTTGAAAAAAGAATTCAACTAAGGTCCTATTTGATTTCAGATATGATTTAGTAAATTTGGATTAATACATTTTGTTTAAATTGGATTTATAGGACTTTGTAAATTTTGATGCTAGGATCTCAATTCTTAAATCCAACTGGATTGTTGGGAAGATTTTGGAAAATTTAGTAAAACTTGAAGAGACTGATATTGGAAATACCAAAATATCAATGGAATTGGGATTTGTATTAATCAAATCCTAGATACATGTCAGAATTTATCAAATTCCACTAAATCTTTATTTTTTTAGATCCTCTTATAAGATATTTGGCGGGTTTTGGTTTGATTCCAACTTAAATTCTACTTAAAATGGTAAACCAAACAAAGGCTAACATAGATGAAGAACCCAATTTTGTAAAGAATATTCAAATGGTTGAATTAGCTAACATAGCTTTTCTCATTAAAAAAAGCTTGATCAATGTTCACCAATGAAGCAACTAGTAGAGCATGTAGGCCCACCAGCAATTTAGCTGAAAGCAGGCATGAGGATCTGAATATTATAAATTTATCAGGTATCTGCAGTCTTTCTACCTCCTGCAAGTGTTCTTTTTGCATTGGATTAATCAAGCAAAGAATAATTTCTAATACAGACTATAAATTAATACCTTCTATGTGGAATATAAAGAGAGTTAGAATCTTTTCTTAAATTGAAAATCAAATAGGATAGTCTAACTCTCATTTCATCTTAGCAGGAGATTTCTCAAAATGCTAACACTACTCATCAGCTGTATAAAGCTATCTTAGACATCTTCTTAAAGAATTCTAGTAGGCCACATTTCTTTCTCATCTAAGAAACAAATCACCTATTGAACCATAAATATACATAATTATCCATGTTTTTCTAAAATATGCATCAGTTTTTGAACAATGGAGGAAAAAAAAAAACAAAGGCATACCAAAACCTATCTGATCTTTATAGGAAGAGAAGGGCTCCGCTTTCTCCATTCTCGGAGCAACGTCCTTCACAAGCTCTTCGTATTCCTTCCTCTCCGCCATCTCCGCAAGCTTCCTCAGTCTCTCTTTCAACTCCTCGCTCTACCAAGTCCAACGGCCACCTGACAAAATTTAGAATAGAAAGACACGGACACGAGACCTATGTTGCCAATTCTAATTCTCTCACCTTCTCCCTGGGTTTGGGGCTAGAGAAGAGGAATTCAGCACCAGAAAAAAGGGCGGTTAAGGAGGGCCTTGCGCCGACCGGAAGAGCCGACCAGACGGAGCGGAGGGATCGATAAGGGACGGAACTCTGAGATGAGAGATCAGAAGCGATATCTCGGAGTTCACCAGAGAGGCGTTGCTCGTCGGCCGCGGCGACGAGAAGGAACGCGCGAATTGTCTCATTGTTATGCACGACAAGACGGGTCGTTGCTGAGCCCCCGGCGGTAGATATTGGCTCCTTGGCCATCGGTAAAATGTGCTCACTTGGAGTCGATGATGTCGGAAATAAGCCTATGAATTTTTTTAGTCGACCAACTAACTATACGCGGTCAGAGGCTTATATTGCTGAATTTTATTTTTTAATGATAATTTTTTTTTTGGGAAATTAATGATAAATTTATATGATTGTAATATTTTTTTTATTTATATATCTTATACTTAGATATTTAAATTTATTTGTATACTTAGATATGTTGAGTGCCCAAAGGTATAGATACTAACACTATGATGGAGGGAAGAGATATTGATGAAAAGTTGCTCTCAAGGGATAGTGAGAAGGATATATCAACCTCTTAAGAAGATTTTTCATATGTTAGTCATAAAATTGCTTGGGTGAAAGAGTTTTCCTACCAAGGCTCTAAATAATTAAGTCCTCCACCCATAAAGATGGATAATACCTCTCTCGTAAGAGATGTAATCAATATACGGTGTAGATATTTGTGACGCCCCAGGCATCCATAGTGAAAGGATTCGTCTGACATTCTGATCGAACTCCATTCCAATTGCCTTGTTCGGACCTGAAATTGTTAACCACATATAATGAGCTTCAAAAAGCCCAGCAGGTCACCAAAGCCTACAACTGAAATCAAAGCACGGTACTGCTATCAATATGCATGTCAGCCAATCAAATCCATAACAGTCAATGGTCAATGAGTCTATGCAATACGGAAA